ATAACTTCTTTGCTAAACATAGCAATCCTCAAAAAGCCTTGGAAAACAGATGTGCTAATAGTCTGAATGGAAAACACTATATACTCACCACCATCCATTCTCTAGCTTAGGATGGAAAATAAACGACACCAGTCTTCAGAAGTTCCTATTTAAAGATTCATTGTGCTTCTGGCAAATGTCAACAATCAGGATGAGAGAGGAAAGTGTAGGTGATCATAAAGGGAGAATTTGGCTGTCAGTTTGTTCTTAAAATTTCCCCCTGGGGAAAAGGAGGGAGGAAGGGGAGGTAGAGAAGGTGAGATTTCACCTACTCTCTACGAAGTTATTCTTTTAATTTGAGAAGACCTCAAGAAAGGGTTGTGCTTCTGAGATTTCTGAACTATAGCAAGTGTTTTTTTGTTCCACAAAATCCTACAACTAGAGATTAAATCAATGTGCACAGTTGGTAGCGACACTTTTTTTAACAGCAGTGAAGTAAAATGACTGGTTCTATGACAAAAATATCCTTTTAATTGTCCAGTCTGGGCAATGACCCAAGGTAAAAACAAGCAGGCTAAATGGCGCGTTGCCAGATCTCTCAAGAAACAATTATAATATTGTTCTTCTATTCCTTGTGTTGGCTGAGTTCCCATTTCTTAATTTGTCTGGAAGGTCTGACATTATTATTTCTCTGTTTTTGCTTTTTAAAAAGTGTTTTTTAGAGTTTTTCCTTTCATCTGTCTCTCAGCCTCTTTCTCACACATTTCTGCTTTGCTACTGAATTTTCTCATCTATTCAATTTCCCTGTGGTTGGTTGGTTTGTTTGTTTTGTTTTGGTGGGGTTTTTTTTGTATATTTTTTTCCCTCTGGCATAGCTTACTAGCATTAGTGGTGATATTAGCTTAATTCTATCTAGTTTCCATTCATTTCCCTAACTTACCCAAGATGGGATCATGCTTTCAAATACTGAAAAAGAAGTCAATGGTACCTTTAGAGGGTACCTTTAGAGAAGAAAAGAATACAAAAGAATCCCATTCTTCAGGAGAAAAGGAAGGCATCAAAGGAAGGATTACCACAGATGGCATACACTGGTGAGGTGGCATGCAGACAGTAAGCTCAAGAGAAGCATCCAAAAATGGAATGCATGCTTATATTCACATTACACCCAAGAAGCCATCTGGACCACACAGGATATCCATCCTTGTGCTTCCCTGTGGCCTGTATGGTACTTGAATGGAAAAGTCATGTTCTTAGCACTGATGAAAGCCAGAGTGGGGAAATAAAGTTTGCAGGTAAGCTGATGTCAGAGGACCTTGTCACTGCCACTGCACTGTCATTTTGTTGTTTCCAGTCATAGAGGCATATTAAAACTGAGAAATCTGAGAGACATTTAAAAAGTATGTACAGTGATACTCCCTGTAATGTGAGCCAGGGTGGTGATATAGCAGTCTGGATACGTGGCATCTCTGAAATTGCTTTAATAGTAAACTTAATGCACCTCTGCCCTTCCCATAGAGTCCTGCTGATTGTTCCTTGTGACTTGAAAAGAGAAAGAAATTGGCATTAAGAAATTAAGAGTGATAAATGGGTAGAAGAAGATAGATCTGTTTTGAGAAGATAGTCCCGTTTTGATAGTTCCACAATAAAATTTGGTCTGCTTCTCTGTGACCCTATCTCATACTTTTCAGTTGAGATCTTCACTTCTTGTTTTTCCACAGGAAACCAACACATTTTCTCCATTAAGCTGTCTGATATTAAACATAAACCCAGAAGTAGCTGTCAGTCCAGGGCACATACATATCTAGTATAGTGAACCTAATTAAAGTGATGTATTTGAACAATCTCAAGGAACACCCGTAACACTACATACATTAAGAAGGGCTGGGAGCTGGGTGAGCTTTCAAACACTTTGGATAGCTTCAGAGCTGAAATTAGATTGCCAGGCACCAGCCACTAGGGAAAAGCCTTTACTGGACTGCAGCAGCCAGCAAAGAGCAGGCAGCAGAGACACAGCCTGGGCTCATGCCTAAGCTGTCATACACCCACACTCAAAGCTTGACATCACAGAATCACAGCATCATGGACTTGTTTAGGTTGGAAGGAACCCTAAAGATCATTTGGTTCCAATCCTTCTTCAATGGGCAGTGGCATCTGCTATTAGATCAGGTTGCTCAAAGACCCATCCAGCCTGACCTTGAACATATCTTGGGATGGGGCAACCACAACTTTTCTGGGCAACCTGTTCCAGTTTCTCACCACTCTCAGAGTAGAAAATGTTTTCCTATTCACATTTTTAGTCATTGCCAAGCAGTGCATCACAATGCCCAAGTTCTTTTGAGATCTGGAACTTTTGTCCTGAAAAACCAATGTATATAAGCATGTTTTGCAGAACAGTTCAGAAAATGTACAGAAAGAATGAAATTCAAACATTGCTCCTACATGGACTGGATGAACTGTGTCTGCTCCTTCATGCAGGGTAACACTGAAGAAACACATTAGTAGGAACACTGGGTCGCTAAACACACCATCAAAGCTAAGCTGAATAAATTATATGGACCTCTTGCTCATTCTACAATCTCAGTGGCCCTCTTGAATCCCAGAGAAAAAGCAAAGCACAGATCCACTCGGACACAGAGTTCTTCCTCCCTTGTGTACTGATCAAAGAGAGGACTGCATCACCTAGAGTCACAAGAAAACATTCATTTTTATCTGTAGCCATTTGCTGGCAGAAAGTGATCAGAATGATTGCATTTTAGCCATATCAGAATTAGAATTTATTGTTATTATTATTTTTACTGTAAAGCAATTGTCCTTGCAGGGTGAAATTTAAAGATAACAAGCTGGAACCATGCATGGTTTTACTAACAGTGAGCTGAATTCCTCTCTCCCTTCCAAACATAAACCCATGCTGGGCATGTGAAATGAAAGCTGTCTTTAATGAAACAAGGAAATGACAAGACTGAATGAATGGAGCTGCCTAACAGACCCATGTCTGGTAACTGAAGAAACCCTTGCTGAGAGAAATGGACTGTGAATATTCATTACAAAAACAACGATTAAGAGATGAAGGACAACAATCTGACCCCAAAACAAATATTGCTTAATATCTGCCCTGTATCATCTTTTTATCCTCACCTATATATTTCTCTTGAAGTATTGGAGTCATGTCATCTAAAGAGCTTTTTCAGAGTGCTGGTGATTTCAGTCATCCTTAATTTGGGTTACTGTCTGGAAATAAAAGTGAAGTATATATTTCTGTGTGTTTTAGGAGACTACTTTTAATTATTGGGAGAATATATACCTATCAGCATCTCAGACATGAATGTACTATATTTTGTTTGTTCACATACGGATTTGATTTTTTTTTTTCTTCCATGCCTTCTTCCTTCAGGACTGCCTTGAAAAGCTAGTATCAGTATGTGCAGCTTTACAAAACCACTGTATCCTGTACCCTCTTTTCACAGAATAAGAAGACCATAACCCTGGTGGTTATGTGAACAAGGACACCATTGCATCTCTGTAGTGCAGTCACCCATCCAATTTTGTAAATCATAGCCTCTTTTTTTTTTTTTTTAATGGTCAGCTTGGTCTAATTTCTCTTCCTTAATAGCTCATCTTGTGATAGTCCTTATCTTTTTTAGAACAGATTTTTTCACAGCTTTCCTGATTTTATAGATTTAATTCATTTCTTATTTCTCTTTCTTTACCATGTGCTCATCACTTTCACTTAGTTTTCTCAAGAATATAAGTAAAAATGAGTGTATTAGTTCAGATCAAATATTTATTTACCTTATTAACACGCCTTTGGTAGTCATCAGTAGCAAATATTAAAGAAGGCAGGTAAGGAAGAATTCTTCCCTCTACATGGCTTCCTGCCTTGTAGCAGTTAGCAACTTAAGGACTTCCTTTGCAATAGATTGTGTGCAGGCCATTGACTTTATTAGCCTGCTCTCTTCCATCTATTATTTTTCTAGTTTATATCTATTTTTAGTCTACACAACATCCTGTGGCACAACTAGCACAATGTGTGCAAAGAAGTTCTTCCTTTTATTTTGATTGTAATCGTGCTACTTGTTAATTTAATTGGATGACTTCATACTTGGGCACTGTGAGAAATACCACAACTTCATTCATGATTTTATGAATCATGATTTTCTTGACCTGTACTATATTAACTTTTAAATATTCTCCACCAGTTAAGATACTTGCACTTTTTGCTTATTACTTTATGATTCTTCTTGGATGAAGTCTGTGCAGTACCTCTGGTCATTCTTGTTCGCTGCTTTTGCACCTAACTATAACATTTTTGAGATTAGGAAATTGCATGAAGCATTCAAAAACAGCTGCAAAATATTTTCTGTGTTTGCTTGCTTGAATGTTTTCCTTTATTGATTCTTAAATGTGTCTGAACTTTGTGTATGGCATTTTTTAGCACAAATATTTCCCTCAAACAATGCTCCCTGGAAATCTTTTCTACAGACTTTAATGGACATCATCATAAGTGCATATAAGTAAGATAATTTTGTCTACAATGTACATTGCTTTGCACTCATGAATACTGAATTCAGCTTAGTATTTTAAATGGTCATTTCTAAGTTTGACTACCCTGAAAGATTTAGTATCAAATCTGATATAATGAAAATTAACATAGTATGCTAAACCCATTGGTAGATAATTTATTTTGTATTAGAATTTTGTTTGACTTTCTGGGTAAATGATGTCTGATACTTATGATCTGATAGCATTTTATTCTGTTAATTTTTTTTCTGAAATCCTTTCTATAATTGGACGGGGGTGGGGAATGATGTTTGGATGAATGGTGTTTTGATCAACCTTCAGAGATCCTTTCCAACCTCAACCTCTCTGTGGTTCTGTGATTCTATTACTTATTTTTTACTTTTTTCTCTGCATAGCCAGATATGGTATGGGAACCCCCTATATCCCTCCATCAATAGTGCAGATAAAGAGTCCACCTCTTTTTTCTGTCTTATTTTCCTTTTCAACTGAATTGACCATACGAGCTCCCAGCAAGCTACCTAGTCATAAGAATTTTTGAATGGTTTTATTAATAGTTTTTATGCCTTTAGCAAGTTGGTCAGAAAAATATTTTCTTTTTGGCCTTATTATAGTTTACATTTAATCTGTTTTTCATTTTCTTCAGTTAAATATTACTTCTGATTTTGTGGCATGCCTTTTATTCTTTTGGTGGCTTCCTGGTGAGTATATTTACTGTGAAATTCTGATTTGATGACTTTTACATTTTTTTTCTCCTTATCTCCTTCCAAATAAAAATATCTGTCTTTATATCATTAAAAGGTTATTGAAGTAAAGATTCTTAAGAATAAATGTCACATAGTAGATTCCAGACTCTTTTTTTTCTCTTCATGTGTTAAGACTGTTTCATTCGCCTACATGAAGGTTGCTGTTAGAGAGTAAATCTTGAAGAATAGGATTTATGGTTTTTCAGTTCTTTTCCTTTCTCTCATTTGTGCCTGTTAGTCTTCAGTGGTGTGACTGTAAGTTACTTCTTCAACTAACTCCAAAAAGCAAAACATCACCTCCTTCCATGTACTCCACAGACAGTTATAGCCTTCCCTGCTGAGGCATTTGCTTCATCATATAAATAGAGTATATAGTAGGTAACATCTTCTTTTCTGAAAATTCTACCCAAAGTGTATCAAGAAATGAATTTTTAAATTAAGACAACATGAAAATTCCTTTTAAAATCTGATTCATGGTGCTTCCTAGAAGCAAACAAATGAGATTCCTTCCCCTCCTCTCATCTTATTATTTTTGGAGAGTTTTTGTTGTTTATAGGAAAAAATATACGCTAATATAACTTGCAAAGTAAAATGTCCCTTTGGCAACTATCCCAGAACAGCAACTATAAACACATGTTTAGGTTTTAAGCGGTGTTATACACTAGATAATTTATTATCTCCCTGCTATATCCATTTCATTTTAAGTCATTAGTCAGACCTATATAAATAAATCATAACTAACAAAATGTTAATAATCCATATAAAGGAAATGGCGTCTTGTCTTTTCTATATTTGCAGAGAAAACTCGTAAGGAAAATTTAATAGAGGTGTAAAATGCTTACTTTGCTTTCTACCTTATTAAATTATATTCCTGGATATTTTGTTTCTCCAGGGAATTTGGCCTTTCGATAGCACCAGTCTTATTTCTCTGTTTTCAACTATACATTCCTTTGTGTTTTCCTTGGCTGAGAAACCCTTCCCTCACTCTTCTATCCTGTAGGTTAGTCATCATATTTCCCCAATTACTTGGAGAGCAGAATATGCTTTTCAGGGTGCATATCATATAAATCTAGCAGGTAGGCTGATGAGAAAGAGTTCGACTACTGGTGGCTGAGGGTTTTTTCACCGAGAATCAGTGAAGATTTAGAGCACAATTCATCTCCATTTTGAAAGAAAAATACAGGTATTTGAATGTGGCTCATTGCTGATTGCTGTCTGCAGTAGTGTATTGGTTGTGTGAGTGCTCCCAGCAATGAGTTTAGGTTTGCCTTAATAAAAGTGGCTATGATCAAGAATTTAAAGGAAAATAGAAAATAATAAAAACAAAAAGCAAAAACAAACAACCCCCCTCCACCAAATAACTAAAAAACCTTCCAAACTCATTTCAACCATGATCCTCAGCTATGGGATAGGTTTTTTAATTTTTTAAGCAAAACAAATTGCAAAACCAAATTGTTTTACAAACACTGTCCACTCATGCAACTGTAATCCTTCCTTTATTCTTCAGGGATTTCTTGTTCTAGAAAGTGGCTCTAAGAAAAAAACTGCACGACCCACAAAATCTGTTTTAAACACACCAGAAAGTTTTTCAAATAGCTCAGAGAAATGTTTTTATTCATAAATTTCAAATGAGAGCAGGGTGGGCCAAGGAAAAGTCTATCAAACTAAACCCATTAAGCCTGTCATGAATGAAGGAAGGGCAATGGAGAGGACAGGGGGATTGTCTTTCATGAGCCTTCTGTTTGATTGTGATTATATTTAAATTTGAGAGCTTATTATATTTACAGCTATGGCTACGTTGCTATGACAGCAGCAACACTACCAGCTCTTTCACAGGAAAAGGGCCACTATTTCCATATCCCTTCTTACAGCTAGAATTTCATTCCTCTCTTACTGAGGTTTCCATCCTGACTTATGAATTAATACACTTTGTCTGTCCTCTCAGCTGTCTTTCTTTCCCAGAAACTGGGAAAAGTTTCTTAAGATAGCTGAGATGCAAGTAGTTGGGCAGGGAGGGGTAGTTGTTTAAAGCCTTCTGACGTTTTAGCTCTCAACACTTGGCTTTAATTTTCACCCTTTCTTTCCTGGCACCCAAATAGTGCTGCGCACCCTGCTTTCAGCCACACATGCTCCTGTCTTCATCATCACAATAATACAGCTGAAGAGCAAGCAAGACTCTCTTTTTTGTTGGAAAGAGAGGCCCATCTGCCTGTCTGTCTGTCTGTCTGTCTGTCAAGTGTGTGAGCTCCTGCTGCTCCCCGGAGTGCCAGCAGAAAGCAAATCTCATTGCTCCTGCCATTTCCTAGCCAACACCAGCACAATGGAGAGCATGTAAACAGTTGGCTGGGCTGATTGTTACAATGACTGGAGCAAATCAAGGGCAGCTTTGTCATCAACAATGAAATCTGCACTCTGTATGCAAATTCCTCCCTGCTTTCACTTCTATTTCTCATCCGTGCCAGCATGGTCTCAGCGAACCTCCTATGAACTACCAACAAGTTGCAAAATCTTGCAGATTACTAGTCTTTTAGTATAAGCTTTCAGTTTCACTTTACACAAAATATGCCTGGAAGCAGAACCTGGGCTGCACAGCTGTACTCTTTCAGGCAGCTGTAGTTTCCCCACCCTACATTTTAATACTGGGCTTAGTCTTATTTGCAGTGTTATTAAATTAAGTGATAGAAAAATGCAACAAAGAAAGGGTGTCTGCATTCTGTGAATCCCATGATTCTCCCTATTTTACTGTTACAGCACAGGCTGGTTATTAGATTTCCCAGAGTCATTATGGATCAGAAATGCCTTAGTTATTTTGGAAATAGCAACATTTCTACCTTTCTTGCAGAAATAACTTGATGTGTCAGTGCTGAGGTCCCAGCACCTGCTTTACCCTTTGCTATGTGTGAATGGCCACATGCCAGGTGCTGAATTTAAGCATGTGGTCTGCTCACTGATGTGAAGCTTGAGAGGTTCAAGAGGCCAATTTGCCAGCTTTCAATGTTGAGCTAAACTGCTCCATGCAAGCTGTTCTTTTGTGCTGCCGGAAACACATTGGTCATTTCAGGGTCCTTATGCTGAAACAGAGTTATATCCTCAGTACAGTTATAAATATTTCGGCTTTTTCAGGATATGCATTTTCACTCAGACCATTCTTATTGTAATTGGGATGGTTTGTTTTGATTGTTAGCAGTCATTGCTGAAAGACATTCAATGGACACTCTTTGTTATTAGTGTGAGTTTTAAGAAAATGTAATTTTGTTTCTAGGGATTTCACCTTCTGCTGGAAAATTATTTCAAAATTTTTGCACAAGTGAACCACAAGTGAGATTTGTCCTCACTTGGTACCACACCTGGTGACATACATTACTGCTAACAATCTGTGTTTGCTGTATTGCTTGTCTTTTGCTCATAATTCCGGCCTTGCAGATATGCTGGAATGCAGGTAATTGAATATAACAAAATGTGGTATGAATCCAGCACGGCATCTAAGAATGGTGAAGAAGGGGGGAAGAAAAGTACAATACAAAATAATAATTTCTTCCTTGCTTTGGTTCCTGACTAAAGAACAGTTCAATTTCGTGCTATTTAGTTTCATTTGCATGCTGAGATGTCATCCGGACAGCTTTTTCCTTAATTTTCTGGCTATGGCATGATATGCCTGAAGAGCTGAATCAGATGTCTCTGAACTAAGGCTCTCTAAAAAAGATTAAAAGGGGAGTTTTTTGAACCAATCTGAAACATATAAAACCATGATCTCTCAGGTGCCGTCTCTCTTCAGGGGTGAGACTTGTGTGAACGCAGAAACATGGGCAACACAGGGATGTCAGCAGACCACTGATTTGAATTGAAGGGGAAAAAAGCAGATCGTGGGCAGAAACACCCATCTACTGTTGCAAGGTAACAGAAGATAGGAATCCAAACTGAAATTGATAAGAGAAAATCCAATATTGTTAAAGAGATTAGTCACAAGTGCACATTAGGTTCATGCTATTGTAACTCTGATCTATGTCCCTGAAAAGGTCAGTCAGCCTAATCTGAAAACAACCCTAAACTAAGCCTAGATATTTTGGGGTCTAAACAGAAGCTTGGATGAAAAATAATTAGGGATATGTTTATATTACGAAGGTGAGCAATTTTTATTTATGTATTATGTGTTAGCACAAAAAGAAAATCCAAGCAATCTAATTTTTTCTTTTTTTCTTTTTCTTTTTCTTTTCTTTTTCTTTTTCTTTTTCTTTTTCTTTTTCTTTTTCTTTTTCTTTTTTTTCTTTTTTCTTTTTCATTCCTTTTTCCTTTCTGCCGGCAAGAAGATCCCTCCTTAAATGGAACTAAAGTGTGTCACATTTATGCAGCCATCAACAGAGTACCCATACACCAAATACAGCATCCTCAAATGCTTTGTCTAAAAATAGTTTTCCATTGCTAGTATAAAACTTAGCACAGTTTCAGACGTGTAATACCATGACCAGCTTTCACCATCAAGGAAACATTTGGTGAAGGTTTTGTGTACATCTAGCTTGGACACAAACATTAGTTCAGTGACAAGCAATATCCTTTTTAGTGTATCTATATAAGCAGAAGAATAATGAGACTTTTCTTGAAGAGCCTCTGAGCTAATCCCCCTTAAAGATATTTTGCTTGACATTAAAAGTCCCATTTTCTTTCAAAATTTATGGGTATAAGAAATCTTTTAGTCGGTCATGTTTATATCATTAATGTATTAAGAAATGAGTGACCAATTAACCTGTTAAAATCTGGTTTCCCAAAAACCTC